AGTGCACCGGAGTGGAATTACATCAACCCCAGGCAGAAACAAGAGCTGGACAAAAAGGCCAAAGATGGAGAGTTTTGGTGAGCGAGCTGCCTACGGGGGGGGGCTGGCCCATAGTTGTGGGCCCCCTCCCTGTTTGGACGCGGGGCAGTGCATCTCTGGGTGTTCCAGAAATGCCACGTGGGTCCCAGCCAGGGGCCTTTCATTTTCCTCCCCCTTGTGCCCTAGCCCGATTCCGCCTCTGTGCCAGGATGCCCAAAGCTTTGGGAGCACAGGATCTGGGCCCTCAGCAGGGACTAGTCTCACCTGCCTTCCCCACCTTCTGTATCTTTCCCGTGAAACAAGAGCAATCCTCCCATATCTTTGCTCTAAGGTTGAGCTGACCATCTAAATAGGACAACCGCCTTCGCAGGCGGGCTGAGGAAGGTAACAAGGACCCCACCTGACTATGACATGGCTTAGAGGACGCCTCTCCGCTGAGCCTCAGTCAGAATGAAAGAGGAGTGGGGTTTGGATTACCTCCCGGGGCCTCTTCCAGTTTGCAGTTCATTTTCTTTGCTTGGCTCTTTAGATGCGTCTGAAGCAGCTGACAATAGTGAGGAAATTGGACAGTAGCCCCTGTGCATTTGCATCTGTATCTGTGGGTTGGAGAGAAGCTGAGCCCTAGCCCGGGGCCTGTTCCCTGCGCCCAGGAGGCCAGCCTTTCCTACCCATCCCAGCCCAGCTCCCTTGACGCAGAGCCCTCGGGCCCCTCTGCCCCCAGGATGTCTTTTCCGGATTTTTTGAGGCAGTTCTCTCGGCTGGAGATCTGCAACTTGTCCCCGGACTCCCTGAGCAGCGAGGAGGTGCACAAATGGAACCTGGTCCTGTTCGAAGGCCGCTGGACGCGGGGCTCGACCGCTGGCGGCTGCGCGAACTACCCAGGTGAGGCGCAGGGCTGCCCGGGGCCGCGCCTCTGGCTTGGCCTTCGGAGCTGGGTGTCTTTATAGGTTCCTCTTTGGGCAACGCCTTTGCACTCTGTTCTCCGGCCTCTGGGCCCCGCTCAGAGGCCCCGCTACCCCCTCTAGGCCAGGGCAGCGAGGATGAGAAGTGCCCCTGCGGCCCCTCGCCTGAGCCTGATCTCAGGCGGCACCATCCTCCAGCTTCTGTGTCCAAACCGTTCTTGCGTCTCT